AGAAAATTTTAAACCATTTTGAGTTTTTTTTCTTCGTGTAATAAAGACGTTCACAATTAAATTAATCGAGAAACGATATTATGTCTGTTGGAACAGCCAGATATTGACTTACATGATGAATGTATCCACATGATTCATTAAAATTTCTAGGCTTAATTATTGGTTTTAATAATAGGGGTGAACGAGCTGACGGGGCAGGACAAGGCAGGGCAACGCTCTCGTGTTTTTTTGAGTTGCAAGATCCCATAGGCAGGAGTAATCACTAGAGTTTTTTTTTATGGTAAAAGGGGGCTACCGCCGCCCATGGACACCTGCAACTCAAAAGTCACAAGTGCGTTGGCGCCCTTGGAGTCCCTTCCACTCGAGTCAGCCGGAGAGGGAAATAAATTCACAATTACATGTGGTAAATCATATGATTTATAAATTATGACGACATACCTGTGACTTACAAAACCACTGTAACTTATTGTTAGTCTACCGCAAGACTCGCGAAATTTCTAAATCTAAAAGAAAGGAAAAGCTCGTAATCTTTGATAAACACAGAATTTTGATTGATCTTAATTGCATTTGTTTCTTTGTCTGTGACGAAATCACAATCACATGTGAAATCGGTTTTACAAAATCCAATCAATTCATTAAATGAATATAATTTAAAAGTAGCAATAACTTCCATGTCTAATCATCAGGTGACCTCCCTTTTGAAGGGTTGGGCCTCCTGTCACTTCCCTCACTTCATGAAAAGAAACAAAAGAATTGCTAACACCAGTTTTCTTTAAGGCCATGGTATTTTTCCTGTTGAGCCAGTCCATATACTCGTATGTAGCAATAGCCAGATAGGCTCTCCCACGGTTTCAGTGTTTCACTTACTTACAATTTAACATAGGTAGGTACTTATATAGGTAGAATACACTTACCCGCTCACATAATTTAATTCTGTAGTAGGTACTTAATTTTCTATAGGGCAAGTCTTTTACGTGTATTTTGCTATATCTTACTTTTTAAATAAATAAGTTAGTAATAAGGTTTGATATAATAAAATTTGATTTTGTAGTACTTAATTTTCTTTAGGGTATTGTTTTTGATTTTGTACCTTATTATTTTCTATGGGGTAATTTTTTGAAGTAAATTTGCGATATCTTATTGTTTAATAAATACCTTTTAAATAAATAATTTAGTAATATGTTTTGATTTTATTTTTACAAAACGAGGATTATATTTCTTTTGAGCTAGTACATAATATATCGGCTTTCCATCAATTTTTTTTTTTTTTTTTGAGTCTTTATTTAAAATGAAGTTACTTCCTGTTCTTGTACGCTTAGATCTTACAAACTACGCTACTAAAGATATCTTGTGATGATTGTGATGATTGTGATACGTGGTGTGTATATTACATAAATACTGTTTTATTTCTTTCATTATTTCTATTCAATTTATTTACTTCCTTTGTCTTAAAAAGGCACTTAACTGATTAAGTTCTAGTGTTGCCACAACATGAAAAAATTTCTTGTTTAGAGTGCAATTAAAAAAGCAATAGGTACTTATCTTAAAAGAGAATTAGGTTTAATAATATCTTTTCTAAAATATTAACGAAATGCATTATATAAATATCGAAGGACGAACACTAGTTAAACTTCTGGACTTTTTTTTTTCTTCAGACTGCTATTCCAAAGGTCGCGGGTTCGATTCCCGCTCAAGTCAAACATTTGTGTGCATGAACAATTAATGTTTGATTTGGTCTGGGTGTTTCTGTGTATAATAAGTATGTATTTACAAAAAGAAAAGTATATATGTATTTATATCAGTTGTCTAGTACCTTGTCTAGTTGTCTTGTACTATACAAGCTCTGCTTAGTTTGGGACTAGATGGCGTTGTGTGAATGTGGTACTATATTATTATTATTATTCTCTTTATTTACTTTATATACATATTATTTAAATTTTTAAACATACACTTCATAAAAAATAAAAAATAAAAGTTATTAAAAATGTAAAAAATAGTAGACCACTGACATCGGGTACAGGGACCAGGACACCGGTGGTTAGGACTCCAAAGATAGGAACCTCCTCACTATACGAGCCGTGTCAAGGAGGACTGCCTTCTGCATCAGACCCTTGCTCCAGCCGTCCAACGTGAGCCTCTTAAGGTGTTGGTCGAGGCTCTTGGCTATCAATCCGTGAGCACATACGACTATCGGAACAATGATCACTGAATCAACATTCCACATATCGATATTATTATTATTTATTTATATCGCGCGCGCTTGTTTTTTGCAGAACTAAATTATCGATGCGATGCGACTTGTTCACCGCGACCCGGGCGGGCAGGGATGTTCCTTGGTATACGTACCATTTTTCAGGGTTTCGTACCGTGTACCAACGAAATATTGTGTTGGTACGCAATAGTACCAACTTTCAACATTGATCGTACATTTCTAACGATATAAGTTATTTCTGTACGCCATAGTTACAACATTGATTATTGTAAAAAAAATATTTTGACCTAAAGTTTACTTTAATCCGCTGTACATCAAATGCCATTACTAGTCCACTGCTGGACATAGGCCTCTCCTTAGAAAGGAGGTTTTGGTCTACTATACCACGCTGGCCAGACGGGTTGGTATAGGGTTTGTTTCAAGTTTTCCTTCTCTTTGCAGTGCTGTTGTCGTGCGTTGTTTGTTCCCTTAGTCGTCTCTTACGACACCCACGGGATGAATAGGATGAAATGAATGAAATTCCGTATTCTTAATCTGTCACCACACCTCACCAAATTAAGAAAGAGGGTACTCCGATAATACTTATAGTGAAATACTGTAGTTTAACTACCGCTTTTTAAATAATAATTAGATGATATCTATACTAATAGGTGAAAAATGCAGTTTGTAGGTTTCAGGGGGCAGGTAGTCTCTTACCATTGGCTAACCCGACTGGCCCCTTTATTTTTTCCTGTGCGGATATCCCCTCGGATACCACCAACCTACTGGTGGTTATGTCGGATTCTAACCGACTAAAAACCGCACGCCGTCTCAGGTACCAGTAGCCGGGGAACCAAGTGCAAACAAAAATTAAGTGCACTTTAATTGTACAGATCACCAAATTACGAAAGAAGGTACCTACACCGATAATACCTACTTATAGTGATATACTGAAGTTTAACTACCGCTTTATATATGTATAATCAGTTAATTAAAGGTATACTAATATCAATGAAGAGAAACTAGGGATGGATGATTGGATGTTTGTTAGTCAATCACGCTAGAACGGCTAAACGGAATTGGATGAAACTTAGCACAGAAATAGATTAAAATCTGAAATAGGACATGATCATCCTCATCAACAGCCTGTGCTTGTCCACTACTAGATATAGGCATCTCATTAAAAAGGTTATATTGCACAACTGGATGCAATAACATATTAAAGTAACATTAATCAACATGATGCAATTGGGAAAACAAATATGAATTAGATTATTTCAAACCTATCTTTTCATCAAATTATTTTAAACAAAGTTTATACGGTATATTATTTGCATATAAATATTTTGCCAAGTGTTAAGTGAACACTGTACAGGTGAATGCAGAAAGACAGTTCAGATATGACTGTGAGAAACATACTTGCCAAAAAAATTATTGTCAGCGCCATACATATACATGGTGACGTAATCTTTTTTTAACCTACTATATAAAAGGAGGATTTTTTGTGTTTCTGCAGAACTCCGTCATTTGTAAACCGATTGCATTATTTTTGGTTAACCTAGTTTGGAAAAAAAACAATTCGGTTCCGGTACCTTAGGGAGTGAGATTCTTTTTCGAATTTGAATAGGATCTAAATACAAATTCTATGCAAATTCGAAGAAAAACCAAACTCCCTAAAGCAGGCAGTAAATTAAGGAACAAAAAAAACAGTTTATTTCATAACTTTTTAAAAAGTTAATTATATTGAGATTAAAACTTATCAAAATCAAATTAGGTTAGAAAAGCACACTTGTAAAGGCCTAAATATCTCGAGAAAATAGGAAATTAAAGATAATTTGTGTGTTTCCTTTTTCAAATAATGTTCACAATTAAAGTAATTGAAAATCCATATTATGACGTCTGTTGGGACTGCTAGTCAATGTCCCACGTTATAAATTAATCTTTATGATTTATTACAATTAAAAATATTTATTATTGGTTTCTTAAATAATAGGGCGAAAAAATCGGAGAAACAGAAAATGTTGAGTGTTTTCTTTCTCCGTGTAATAAAGACGTTCACGATTAAATGAATTGAAAATCGATATTTTGGCGTCTGTGGGAACAGCAAGTTATTGACTTGATCTACATAACTCATAAAAATTTCTAGGCTCGATTAATAGTTTTTTTTTTTAAATAATCGGGGGTAGCAGACGCCAGGACAAGACAGGGCAACGCACTCGTGTTTCTTGAGTTGACCATGCAAAAGACAGAGTTTCGTGTTAACATAACACGAAACTCTGTATTTTATAAAGTGTAATTAGAAAAGCAAATAAGTTTAACAACTTTTCTAATAAATTAATAAATAAATTTAATAAATTTTCTATAAGTTAAATGATATTTACAGTACAAATATCGAAAGACAAACGCTAGTTAAACTTCTGGACATATATTCATATCGCGAGTGCTGTTTATTATAGCTTTCTATTTCCAAATTATCGATGTCTTGTTCACCCCGCCCCCGGGCGGGAGAGCGTGAGCAGTCACGATGCGTGCTCGACGCTGAACGCACGTCGCGCATTATCGCAAGTGAATCATATTATCATCTGTCGAATATACATTCCTGAGTCAATATTTCTACTAAAACGGATCTCTTAAAAGTTTAACAACACAATATAGGCAGTACGAACTGTTTATTGTGAATATTGAAGACATTTTCAAACACAAACTTTTACGAGTTGCATTAATTTGTTATCGAAGCCTCGTACCACGAGATAAGCCGTGATATTATAGTCGTATCAGTTGATGGTGTGTATAAGTGAACAAAACAAAAATGGTTAACTATTTTATTTACGCGACGGACGATTCAATGTCTACGTATGGAGAAGAGTATTTTAATAGAAAAGGGTTGGAGACACTTGAGAAGTTCAAGGAAGAAGTCAAGGCTTTACAAAGTGATGCAGAGGGAAGTAACAAAGACGACAGTATAGTCTACCTTCACTGGAGTCACCGATGCGCCAAAATGGAAGAAGATCAGGTGGAGTTAAGATACAGGGAGCAAGATGGAGAAGGTAAAAATACATTACCACACACAGTGCTCGACTGGATGGATGAAAATTTAACGGAGAATGATACAATTCAGTTACTCTACGTAGTCACAGATGGCGCTGTAAGTCCCTCAAACATAAGACCCATCGATCCTAATATGAAGATTGATAATGTTACTTTCTACGCGTTCAACTCGAATATCCACGACATTGATATGTCTGTGGCGTCCATGTTTATTTGCAATAATAAGCGTTACCTTGTGCATTGTAACGAAGAGCTGGTAGATGATACAGATCTGTCAAATCCTTTCGATTATGACCAAATAACTGTCGAAACGTTTCATGAGAAAAAGGAAGAATTGAAGTCATATATTAAATTACAGTTCCTGAATAAATCGTCCTCAGATCGTTTGGCGTTGGAGGAAATTAAAAAGCTCAAAAGTTTACAAACACGTTTGTGCAACGAGTTACAAGACGATAAAGACGAACCTGTCACTCCAGCAAAGATAGACCTAAACGTGAAAGACAAGGAGACCTTTATAAATCTATTTAAAAATACCAAATTTAACAAAACACTGACAGAACCCAAAAAATACGACGAGAAACTAAGAATTGCCAGTTGCATCAACACTTTAGTGAACTATATAAATAACGACCACAAGTCTTTCAAATTTGATAACTTGAAGTTTAACAATAAATTTATAGAAACGGGGGAAGAGGATGTCGCCGATGTTTTCTATAGCAACGTGGAAGAGATTGCATTCCCTGATATAATTTTGGACAACGAGAGCGGAGTCCCTGTCATTTTATTAACGCACTACAATTTAATGGACAAGATTTTGTTCAAGCAAGGCCGAAAGATCCCAGAGCGCTTCGAGAAATACAGTACGTCATGTCCTTCCGAGAAGGCACGCGCCCGCGTGACACGACTTGTTGAAGCAGCGCGACTAACCAAAATGTCACATTTCTCTCGGTTGAGGAAAACTGTGGATTGCCCATTGATTCTATTAAATGATCCCGACTTCAAAGATTCCATTGAATACTATTACAATTTGGAATCATTCAAGGGTCTGATCCAACATGGAGTACAGACAGGGCCGCGCACACGACGTCCGTTCACAGGCGCCATTGTGCCGCTTGAAGAGTTCGACGATTACAATGACTACATATTATCTTGCACATATTTCGCGAGTAGACGAGTGCCTTACAACAAAGGATTACTATATTATGTGGTATACAAAACTTGTGAAAAGCTGAAATATATCGAACCGAATGTTGTTGAATATCTGAAGGGATATGTTATAAAACGTATAGCTAAAACTAAATGTTTCTTGGGTCTGAGTAAAATGTCAATAGACGATCCGTTGATACGAGTGGATCTGACCACGGCCCTGTGGTATTGTGCCGAGTTGTCCTCGATATTATTCAAAAACGATCCAAAACATTTTAGAAAAGAAAAAATTCGTATGTACAGTCATTATTCAGAATATATGAAGGAGATCCTTGAATGGTTCCAATATGATGTAGATACGAAATCGGTTGACCTAAGAGCGGATATTTTTAGAAATGTAAACAGACTGAAGCGTATAGGTCGACGTGAAGATAAAATAAGGCATATTTTAGAGCAAATATTTAAGAAAGAAGACAGGATTATAGTATCCGAGATGGTGAACCCAGACAACATCTACAAGCTGAAATATTTACAGCTGGACCATAACAAAGTGATCGATGAGAGTCTGTTGTCTGCTGAAGTTGATATAAACAAGTTTGCACATTTCATGGATTACGTTGAGACGACATTCGTGCCGGTGTGCAAACAGACTATGAGACCACACTTTGTTACAGAAGACAACAAATCTTACTACGAACAAGTAGTGACAAAATCAAGAAGAGTTGTAATACAAGATGGAAAACTTACATGGGAACCTGTGGAGCAATTGGATTTCACACGAATTCTATCCACGAATAAGTTATTTATATCGAACATTAAACAATTCTCAAAATACCCCACAATTGGGCAATTTAAATGTTACGTATTGAAAAAGAAGAAATATTTCAGGGGGAAACCAGTTGTTTTCGCAACAAATACGATGGAGACTATAGAAAAAACCCATGCGGCGTACAAAAAGACCCGCACTAGTATAAATAAATTTAATAAAATATCAAACTCTTCAGTGAATAAGGCAGTCCGTATAGAGAAAGAGAATCCGTTTGACTTAACTGAAGAAGAAATACCGGATTTTATTAAAAAGGCTGAGAGTTATATTGTGAAGAAAGAGTTGTCAGAGGCAGCGCCTTCTGATCAGCAATCGGCTGACGTACCTCACACTGGTCTTCCGCAAGCACAGAAACCTAAAAAGAGGAAATCAAAAACGAAAAACACGCAGAAGCCAAACAAATAATAATACCCAATTAGCGTAATTGCCTATTTGTATTAGACTACTTGTGTGTATACGTGTTTTCTACCAAATAAATTTTTTAAATATGTTCATGTAGTCTTATTAAATGTTTAATGAAATTACGTTTACACGCCTATTTCATCAAGCAATCAACTGTGTGCGGTTACTCTGAGAGCAATTTATATTGTATTTAGCATTGATATAATACTTACTCAATGGTATTTAGGTCGCAATGTGTAGCAGTCCAAAGACTTTTGGTTATTGACTTTAGTTTGGGCTTGGTATTACGTGGCCGGCCGCCTGTCTCACGTCAGCCCTACATGGGAATGTTATAAAATAGGTCAACTTGCAGAGTGTGATATTAGGAAGAGCATAGTATCTATTACTTCGAATGCAGTGGTTTCTGATTGTCTAAGTCGCAATATGATCCTCCCAATCCTCGATGAAATCATGGGTGTTGTTTGTATGTGACAAACAACAGGCAGGATTTCATCGAGGGCTAAACTATTTGATTATCTACAGGGTATTTCCAACGGCTTGGAAGGATGCTTAAATTATACCCATCTCCAAAAAGAAAAACCCCGCATCCTTCTCCGATTATAGCCCTATTTCCGTTCTCCCATTCCTCTCCAAGGTCCTTGAACGTCTTATTCATTCTCGACTTACGAAGTTCCTATCCAGAAACCTGCTTCTAAATCCTATCTAGTCCGGTATTCGACCTGGTTTACAGTACCACTCCGTATGGTGACGGATTAAGAGTCCGTGTGGTGACGGATTAAGAATACAGAGTGTCACCACCCCTATTCATCCCGTGGGTGTCGTAAGAGGCGACTAAGGGAGCAAACTACGCAGGACAACAGCACTGCAGAGAGAAGGAAAACTTGACACAAACCCTATACCAACCCGTCTGGCCAGCGTGGTATAGTAGGCCAAAACCTCCTTTCTAAAGAGAGGCCTATGTCCAGCTGTGGACTATTAAAGTCTGTTGATGATGATGATGATGGCTATGTATATACTACTTTGATTTCATCTTCTTTTCTATTTCCTAATACACTCATTCATGTTTTGTCTCCATACCACGGTTGCCTGTACGCACAGATTACCCCCTAATAGATACCACACTATTGAATATTTGTACTGATTCGAGTTCACAAAATTTGGTGGTATGCAAGGATTGCGGAGGACGTGTCGAATGCGCTGTGATTGGATATTACTTGGAATGCACCGAACCATAGTGTTGGGACGGGGTTAGGACGTTGATCGATAAATTTGGTTGCATGATCTGAATTATTGATATTAATTTTATTTTCGATTTGTTGGTCATTAATAAATAAATTTATTACTCAATGTTTACTTGACATTTATTGAAAAAATAAAACTTAATTTTTTAGCGGCGAACGAGCAATCTGTAATACGGATTCGGTTCTTTTTTAAACATTAACATTTAGGTACTCATTATACGTTTATCTACTTATTCATATAAATTAGTATTTATACAGTTTATTATAATCATACCGCTACCGGAGTTTCCGTATTTATAGCTACAATATCTGCAGTTACACTTATCGTAGAGGCGGGTGCCTAAAAGTAGTATTGTTAATTAAAACACCATACGGTACGTTTTTCAAATTTAGATGTAATTTTAATGGTAATAAGATATTATTGAAGTTCACGTTACACCGAAATAGCAAGTCATAATAATAATCACATTTCATGGAAATTAAACTACTTTTTTTACGGGTTATTACTTTTACATGTTTTATGATTTATAAATCCGTTAAAAAGAGTTTAATTTCGACGTATCATGTTTCACTCAATCACTTACTGCTATTATTGTGTAATCTACATCGGTACTAATCTTCTTCTTCAAAGTCCATACCAAAACTGGCAAGTATAGAGACGGTAAAGCGCAATCCAACAGCCTTCTACAGTTTTTCATATAATGAAAATTATCTTCTGTGAAGTGTCTTGAACACATCACCCTATATTTGATGGTACCTATTACATATAGCAGAATGTTTTTTTTTTTTACAAAATAAACAAACAAAGTTCAAACGATGACCAAACAAATATCGACTTATAAATCACAACACTATCGATACACGTGCTGTTATTAGACAAAGACAACTACTGTAGTTTACCTAACGAGTGAAAGAGACATTTCCAAATAACATCAACGGGTGCTTAATTACTTTGCACCATTAAGGTACCAGTATAAGTTGACCTCCGGTGCATTTGAAATAGGTTAGCGTGATAAGAATAGAATTTACTTAGCGATGAAATGTTATGCCATCTTTTCGATAACTGGATGTCTTAGCTGACTTGCCACACCATTCACTGCACAGTAAGCCATTTTTAATGTATTTGGGATAGTAAGCTATTTTTAAATTGTCAAAAACTCGGACGTTCTTACGAGCGTACGGGGCCTCAATTCTGCTATTTTATGTTCACGCCAAGCCAGTGTCATACCACTAGCACGCACACTGACAAAAAGATTGCCATATTTGGAAAAATACATAAATCATTTCCTTATAATTTGAAAAATATCACGTTTTTTTTGAGGAAATTATTTATTTATTTTTCCAAATATGGCCAATTGAGGCCCTCAACTCTGCTATTTTATGTTCACGCCAAGCCATGGCTCATGGCTCATCAGTGGTGATATCAAAAAGATTGCTATATTTAGAAAAATAAATAAATCATTTTCTCAAAAAATGTAATATATTTTCCAATTATAGTAATAGCTATAATAAGTATGTGTTGAGTGTCTTTGTGACCCTGTATGCGGAATCTATTAGGGGGTAATCTGTGCCTGTACGAGATTGCCTCTGAGCGATAAGGCTGCCACTTTTACTAACCTAGTTTAAGATAGTTGTTGTATATTTATATCTGGTGTATAATAAAGCGATATATTATTATTATTAAACGCCGGTTTTCTGTGAGGTTGTGGTCTCACTCCCGGCGTCCCACCCCTTTGTTGCCGAAGCACGGCTCTCCCGCCACGGTAGAAATAAAATTATTTATTAATAACCATAATGTACATCCATACTTCTAGGCTTGTGTGATTATTATTATTATCTTTATATGGTATAAAATAAATTCCCTTATTTGTGTTGTACGCTTAGACCGTTACGCTTAATCTTACGCTTACCCGTAATATGGACCTAGTTTTATTCCTTCAAGATAATTGTGAGATTATACTCGTAAAACATATAGACAAAATAAAAATGTTTGTTACGCAATTATTTTCATGTTTGTTACCTCAAAACGCTTCTCAATCCTTTGAAAAAAAAAGTTTAATCGACTTCTAACAAAGAGCACTAAAAACCTGGCAGCAATCGCGGTTGATTTGCTGTAATTTTTTTTGAAGTTTCGTTGTCTGTCTCCAAAACTCATCATCAGATCCATGTAAAATTTAAATGGGACCGGTGAACCCCTATCGCAAAAAAAAAGAATTTTGAAAATCCATCCATCCATATATGACGGAGTTATGTGTGCATAAAAAAACATCCGAATTGACAACATACTCCTTTTTTAAGTCGTTTAAAAAATAGCCTAAGTTACTCCTTATATCGACAGCTACCTATCTACATTAAATGCACAACGTATCTTAACTTATAACATCAATCAATTAATATATCGTAACTTATTTAATTAGATAAGTAATAATTAGACTTGCAACGAATATTCGGTTACTATTCGGTATTCGGCCTATTCGGCTGCTTTGATTATATTCGGCCGAATACCGAATATCTACATATTATTCGGCCGAATACCGAATACTTAAATAATATATTTTGTCATTGAGAAATAATTGGTAAAATTAAAAATTAAAATCGATTGATTACTTATATATTCATATTTTCATTTCTGTTATAATCATTTAAGTAGTCATTGGTGCATAACACAGGTACATAATCATCTACTGAATTGGAAAAATGGAGGATTCTATGTATTTGAATTATTGTGGTAATCAAAATTTAGAAGGGTAAGGTTCTCATTTCTTTTATAATCATTTATTAAGTAGTCATTGGTACATAAAACAGGTACATAATTTAATTCACGTCTGTACAAGTTTTTGGCGCTAAAATCCAGCCGAATACTTTTGCCTAATATTCGGCTATTCGGTCAGGGGCCTCGCCGAATATTCGGTATTCGGTATACTGCCGAATATACTATTCGTTGCAAGTCTAGTAATAATACTGTATTGTTTTAAAAAACTTCGTAATTTTTTTTGTAATATTGAAAATATAAAAATGGTTACTGTGGTTTCTCCTTAGGAGATAGACATATACCATGGCGGACTTATTTGTAGATCTTTTTAAGATAAACAATTTCGTAATATATTTTTTTTTGTCTATCTCCTAAGGTTTAGCCAGCGTTTGCAATGTAAGCGCACAAAAATATATTTTCTACGACAAATCTTTGAAATTATCGGTTTTTTTCTACTATAATATGCATGTATTATATTTATATGAGTCTGCCGTGGGAGAGCCATGTTTCGGTATCGAGTGAAGTGATATGGTCTCATAGAAAACCGGACCGGTATTAAGAAATTCTTTCTTTGCTCAAAGAAGGTACACTGATATTACCCCCTTATAGTAATATGCTGAAGTTTAACTACCGCTTTATATAATATATACAGTTAAATATAGCTATACTAACGTCAATGATGAGAAACTTAGGATGGATGAATGGATGTTTGATGCTCAATCAAACTAGAACGGCTGGACGGAATTGGATGAAGCATAGCACAGAAATAGATTATAATCTGAAATAGTACATCCTCATCATCATCAACAGCCTTTACTAGTCCACTGCTAGACATAGACCACTTCCTTAAAAAGCAGTTTTTGGCCCACTAAACCGCGCTGGCGAGACGGGTTGGTATCAGGTTTGTTTTAAGTTTTCGTTTTCTATGCAATGCTGTTGTCCTGCAGAGTTTGCTCCTTTAATCGGCTCTTACGACATCCACGGGAGGAATAGGGGTTGTGAATCTCTGT